TTGACATTTGATGTACTGCGAAATGGACACGGTTGGCATTTAAGATGACGTATACGTTACGTATTTTCGATTCCCGTATTTGACACAGACCAATGTAATCTCTTTTGGCTTAATACTGCACACAATAGTTAATCAAAGACAATGACATGTTTATGTTTTCGACGTCGAAATGCATCATGCACATAATATAACGTCTGATTTGTATATGTCAACATATCCATAGTCTAAGGAGGAAACTTATCATGTTAGAGAGGCACCTTTTGACACTTGTCATCGCAGTCATTAGGGATGTCAACTAAACATATCGGTTACCTTTTTAAACGATTCTCACGAGAAATCGATACGAAATTTTATGAGTTTCGATTATTTTACAGGTCATTGGGTTTCACTTCTGAATAGAAAATAATTAACATTTATTTAAGCAATATTGAGTTTAATATATGGAACTATTTTAAATGATCACAATCTGTAGTTGTTGCTGGGACAACAAAAAAGACTGCAGTTTAAATTTTTATTGCTTATCATCGGAAGATGACCCGCAATCATCAGTTGAGCTAGTATCACTTGTATGTATAATTATTTGATGTTCACTTATATTATCAATGTTAAATATAATAATATCAGCTAGAGCCTGACCCGATAACATACACCTTGCAAAATGGTTTTTTTTTAGTAATAATTCGTTCAATTTTACTCAGCAAATAATAAAAATCAATAGGTGACAGTCTACAAAAATTTGAGGATTCCCCAGAATCATCACAGAGCATTACTTGAAACATATTCGTTAACTTTGCGTTTAAATTTGTGGTTTGGATCGTTTAGGTTCCAAATGAGCCCTTCGGTTTCATATAGTTCTATAAACTCCAAGAGTCACGCGTTACCCCAATCCATTTTGCAAGGTGTACTTACGTATTATCGCAAAAATAATTATCATCAATATCAAACGAATCATTATGATCTTGTGTTATTTAAGGTTGAACTTTATTTTGTTTCTTTTTTCCAATTTTTTTTACTTTTCTTACTAAATAGGTAAAAGGATTAGCTACCAAATATTTTGTTTTGTAGCTAACAATTTCGTAAATGTGGCTAAAAACCGGCTACATTGGCAACACTGCTAATAAGTGTAACTTTGCGTCACTAGTAGTGTCTAACTTCGCGTCACCACTAGTCTAGGGTCGTATTCCAGAACTCTTCTCAATGTTCAAGTCAAAACTTGAGTATGATTTCTAGTGTTTGAAATCATACTCAAGTCCTGACTTGAGCATTAAGTAGATATCTGGAATACGACCCCAAGGGCTTATGCACACGGCGTATTTTATACGTGCAGACGACGCGCGTTTTACGAACGCGCGTTTACGGCGCGAAAATGTTCGAAAAGTAGATTGTTGCGTTTGTATCGATTCAAACGCGCGTGATACGTGATACAAAAGTGAGTTCGAAGTTACGCGTCATCTACGCGTAAACGCGCGTTATCTGTGCGTATACGCGAAGCTGACGCACTGTATTGAATCGATTCAAACGCACGCAAACATCGCGTTGCAAGCAAGAAGCTTATATACTCCACTGGAGTTTACACTTAGAATTTCATGTAGTTACTTCATTTAAAAAATTAACTGAAATTAATACAGTCAATTCGGGTAACTTTGAACGTAGTTGCGTAAAAGATTTAAAAATTTATTTTATGTATAGCAATCTTTTATTTTTAGTATTGAAGCTGTGTAAATCGGAACAAAACTGTTAAACGACAGTTATGAAAGAAAAAAGTAATGTTAAATTGTATTTTTTTAAACTTTCGCGGTTATTTCTTGGCGAAAGTAGTTTGGTGTGATTTGTTGCTCAGTTTTAGAATCGGAATTAAATATATAAATCTGAATATTGACTGGTAAGTTTTGGTTTCCACACTTAAGTAGAGGTTTATATATCGCTTTTTTTAAAGAATAATTTAATTTGGTTTTGTATTTACGCGTAAAACGAATTAGATTTTGACGACGTTACCAAACAGAGAAATTTGGGTAACTTTGAATGTGTTTGACTGTGTTTTTAAAGAAGAGGGTAGTCTGTTTCCAGGGAGAGTTCTAAAAGTTACTCCTTTGGAAATTACTGTCTCAGTGCTCCAAAAATGCTTTTTAGGAGGTTGGTCTTGGCCCTCTAACGTTGAGACATGTCAAGTTAATAAAGCCGATAATGTGAATATTATAAAAGAGCAACAGCTATCTAGAAAAGGCGGCCGTATTTATATTGATGACGACATTTTATTCAAGGAGTGGGGTGAATAGATTTTTGTTATGTATTTACTTTGCCTAAAATAATTGTTATAGGTGATTCATTTTGATCTCGTTTGATAGCTAAATAAGCGTAGAATTTATTATTAAACAGAAAATTTTCATTTTTATTCGCATTAATTAAAAAATCTAAAAAAAAACAAGTTTTTCATTTCAACTAAATTAGTTCGTCTCGTTAATCGTAATTACGGCAATACCAAGTCAAATGTCGTTTTTGAACGCACTGTCAGGAATATTTGGGCAGATTCACATCTGACTTACACAAACTGTAAAATATCTAGAAAATATACGGCTTCCATATCGAAGGCTAATCTTATTCAAAGTTACCCAAAATTAAAGGCAACTTTGAATGTGACTTTTGGAGCAAATCTAGAACAGTTTTGTTGAATAATTACTAAATTCCTTCTATAAGAACGAAAAAAGGGCTTAAAAGAACACTATTCAGTTAATAAAGTAATTGTTAAGAAACATAATTAAATGCGAAATTATTAGAAAAACGCAAAAAATGTTCAAAGTTACCCGAATTGACTGTAAACAAAACTAAAATTAAATCTGTCTTTTATCGAAATGTGCGAAACACACGCGCGTTTACAGCGCCTCTAAGGCGCATATACGGCACGTATGGATTTGTGAATGTGTAAATATGCTTACTGAGTACGACTGGAACTCGTTTGAATCGCGTTAACGCGCGTCATCAGCGCGTCGTCGGCGCGTCCTCTGCGCTTCGTCTGCGCGTACAAAATGTGCCGAGAGCATAGGCCCTAACTTCGCGCGACGAGTCGCGATGCGAGGCGTAAGACGTATAATGAGCTGACCATTTACATATGCGTGTTCGTGTATCGCATCGCTATTCGCTTCGCCACTGGCACGAATGTGAGAACGCGGCTTGTGCACATTGACTTATGTCAAGATTGCATTTAATTTTGGAATTCGTGTGAAAATATTATTTGTAATATGTTCTGTCATATTTGTATAATGCTTCACTAAAATTAATGTATTTTTATAAAACCCAATAAGTTAACAATTATTTGCTTACTGTTTCATAGATTGCATTCAAAGTTACATACTATCGTCATCCTTAGCTGTCAAAGACTATAGAGTCACGGAAGCAACGGAAGTTACTTCCAGTGGTCTCGAACCTACCGATTTTTCGGTATTACTACCGATTTGATGCTTGTCCTACCAAAATGGAAAGATTTTTTTAAAGTAAGGAAAGTCCCCTGATTTTTTTAGCGATTTTCAACAATCCATGTACACATCCCTAGTTTTTTTTCTTTCACAGGGATTCCCTGCTACTCATAGATTCTATTCCCTATTCTGTATCTATGCTGCTACTACTAAACATCGATCGACGTGTAAACGATTTATTTGGAGAATACTCTTGTGTTCAAAATCTTACCATTTTAGGGGATTCTCAGAGCAAAAAAAAGAATTCGGATTTCTTTTTTCATTTATTTTCTTAAATTTGATTGAAGTGGTTGGTTGTTAGTTTGGTGTTCTCTCAATCCAAATGGTAGGTAAACCCGCCTAACTATAGTGTTTGGGTTGACTGTAAATAATACGTAAGAAATAAAATAAAATAAATAAATAAACTTTTAATAGTTTTAATAATATCATTAGTGAGTAAATACCATTCCTACTTTAGTAATAATACTTTATTTCGGACCAACAACAAAAAATAAATTTAAAATATAGAGATTGTTCTATTTATTGTTTTTTCTTATTTACCGATTTTTAGTCCAAGGATATCGATTTTGCTTGGCAACCCTAGCGATTTCGCATTTTGACTTTTTGGAGACCACTGGTTTAGTGGTGCTCATGTAAAAAAATATCGATATTTTTTCCGATGTGATATATCGAAATGTTCTATCGCTATTTTGCGATATATCGTTACAAAACATCGATATGTTCGATGTATCGTAAATAATTCTAACAAATAGGAAGAAATTTTTACTAAGAGTAAATAAGTTTTTGCCGTGGGGCGACGGCTTAAGAATACATTGTCGCCTCCCCATACATGCCCGTGGGGGTCGTAAGAGGCGACCGAGGGCGTCACAAGTGTCCATCTGCTTAGCATTGTGGTAGGCTCTGTGCCGACTGGATAGCGACCACAGTACACACGGCGGAAAACCCTCCACAGTGAAACGCTTTTGCGAATCGCGTTCAGGGATCAGTTGGTGTACATCCAGTGCATTTGGCCAGACCGGCAAAATGATAGTGACGGAGTGAAGATATTTGTGTTTTCCATCCGTTACTCTCATCTCTGGACTGTATTCGCACTTTCCATCAGGCGCGGTGCAGTCATTTTGTCGAGTCGCAATAAAAAAAAAAAAAAAAAAAAAAAAAAAAGTAAGGCCATCAGTTTTGACGCAACAATCAAATGTAATTCTTATTCTTATTGACAATATTATTCCAAGTTTATGTTTGTTTCCAACCCAACAATATCGTCTGCACACAAGCAATATTTTTGTCAACATTACCACATAACATAACCACTACGTTACATTGACGTATAACCAGCGAATCAGCTCTCGAAGTACGTTTCGTTTCTGCAAGTACAATTTTGAATACTTACGTACTTTCAACTTTGTCCGATTTTTCATGTATCGAATAAAATATATGGATAGCACATATCGATAACGAATGATACGATAATATCGGATTGATTCGATATATCGAAGGCATTTATCGATATTTTTTTTATTATCGATATATATCAAGCATTTTTTACTCCTTTCCTACCTTATCCTTCTTTTAATTTGTTTGTGCACTATTCTATTATCGGAGTATTCCTGTGTAACTCTACTCTTTGTGCGGAGTCTAGAGTGGTCCTTCTGGTGGTCTGTGCATGGATGATGGTAAAAGGTCTGTGGCACTTTCAACATTGCTAGCTAGTGGTTTTTAAAGTTATCTGAAATTAGATAGTTATATCCTCTTTGGCACTTATTTGGCTGAGTTCACGAAGATTTATAGAGAATATAAGTTCCTCATAACTAACCAGCATCTTGCTGTGGTGCTGCTGCATCCTCTTTGGCTGCTGCGGTGCATTGCAAAATGAAGCGCGAGAGATTGCGATAAATGGGCGTGCATTTCGAACAAGGAACGTATGTGTTTAATTGGACGTAGTTAGCAAAAAGGATCCAATCCACAAAATATTCAGAAAATGAGTTATATATATTAAACAGTTCCTAAAGTGTAACCTCTTAGATCAGCAAAAAAAAAATCCAACATATAAATAAATATCTCTGGAGTTACATGAGATTATAAGTTTTGAAAATAAAACAAGAGTGAGAAACACTTTTCAATTTCAAACTGTCATATCTCGAAAGCGACTGGATGTGCATTGGATCCTTCTGGTTTAACTATGTCCAATTGTAAAAAGAATGCTATGAACGCTTGAACTACCAATTACAATTTTTAGAATGTGAAATTTAAGGAGTGATCAAAGAGGATATAACTATAGGAAATGAACTATTTTCCCGGATTTAAATAGTGTATATTTGTTTTTTCAAACAAACCAACATTTCAGGCCCTTTATGGGACCTGCCCATTGTTATGATTGACACGGTCGAGGATATAACCACTTTGTTGATCTTTGTAATTAACCTCAAATCTACCTGTATTGAATTTCTTAATTTTTTATATATTATTTTATTTTATTGTTTTAATGTGAAATGTTCCAGGAAAAGTAAAAAAACTTCATTGATAATGGCGACAAATTATGCAAAATATGCAGAGTTAATCAAAGCATCTACCGACTATGCACGGCGTATGAAGCGGTTGTCGAACAGAATCTTTGGCGAGGTGGCAATCCCCACAAATTCTAAGTCGATGAAGGTGGTCAAAATGTTTGAAGCACGGCCTTTGCATAGCAATGAAGAAGTAGTGCACTACTACCCACGGCACATGGAGACACATGCGCTGATGCTGCGTCTACGCGAGTATGGTTTGTTCCGTGATGAACACCAGGATTTTAAGGAAGAGATGCGCCGCCTGCGTGAACTGCGTGGGAAAGTCAAGGTGTGGCGGAGGAAACTCGGCGACGCAAGTGCCAATACACCATCCTAATGGCATATCCTTCCGAAAATCTCACTAGCAGTGTATGGCAGGATCAGTTTAGAACTATCAAACTCTTTTGAGCATTTTTCCACTGATCGCTATTAGAGTCCAAAGCAATAAAATCAACTCAAAAGATCTCGCAGATAGCGATATATGAAAAAACTTAAGTTTATGTTAAACTTTGTTTTTGTTTTTGTGTGTTTAAACACAAAAATAAATGTAGTAATAAATAAAAACGATGGAGAATTTTGGTGTTCACATCTGGAAACATGCTCATGTAGTGGCTTTGCATATTATGTGCTAACTGCTGTGTTACTTACGATTAGTCTATTCTGTTTGAAATAAATTAATAATGAACTGTTACGTTTTTTTTTTTTCAGAGGTACCAATTTTTGTAATATTTTTATTTATTTATTCAGGTAATAAACGTCATACAAACAATGATTAACTGCCTCTGGCCGAACGGTTACCGGACTGCTACGCAGAGGTCCCACGTTCGATTCCCGGGCCGGGAGAAATATAGGGACACAGGGGTTGCCCTGTGTTGAGTGTGTGCGTTAACTATAATTATCAAAGAACAGTATGTATAAATGGACCTATAGTATAATTTATGAAACGTAGCATAAATTGCGCAAATATTTGATGAATACAAAATATGTACTACTACCAAAATGTTTACATTACAGACCCAAAAATAATGATAAAAATATGTATTAGAGCCGTCACAATATCAGTTCTTCCACTTTTTGCAAACATTTCAACATCATAAAACAATTTTATCATCAGAAATGATCAGAAACAGGTATTTTTTGCACAATTTGTTCGACAATTTGAAAACGTCCTTTTTGAAAGTGAGGAGAAACATTAAACGAGATTTTCTCTAAAAGTTCAGCAGAATCAATGTCATTGTGAACAAGCTTGTTTAAAAATATACTATCTTGCGGAAGTTAATAGGCCGTCCATAAGAACCGGAGATAGGTCCGTCTCGGATCCGCGACTTCCGCAAATTAAGAGTTAAACAAGTTAGCGACTGTACGTTATGTCTTTTTACACTATCTTCGTAGTCAATATAGCAAAAACCAGAGCGAAGTTTCTTTTGAACTCTTTCTATTCTATCTTGATGAAGAGCATACTGGGTTCCAGACAACAATTCCAAACTCTAAAATACTACGAACGTAAGCGTTGTATAATATTTTTAGTGTACCCTTAGTAAAAGGTTTACGTAGGCGAAGGATCAAACCCGTTTGCTTATACATATGCCCTAGCCACCATATTATCGATGTGTTTGGAGAAGTGCAACTTGGAATCCGTTGCGATGCCTACACCACGAATAGAATCGACACGAGTATAAATCCTAGGCAAGGCCAAGTGGATTATTTTTCCGGCTAAAAGTATGATGACGTAGCGCTTATCCAAATTCATAGCTAAACCTTTACAAAAACATTCAAAGGTGCGTAAATCTTGCCATAATTTCGCACAATCAAGAGTTCGAACTATGTTATACATTTTTGTATCATCTGCATAAAGCAGATGATGAGAATTGGTGAAACAGAATCTGACGTCATGAATATATAAAGAAAATAGAAAAAGACCAAGATGAGGGATGCCTGACGGAATGTTCAAGAATTTAGAGTTACCGCTCTATTCATCCCCTAGTTTACCCACCCTTAGACGTGGAATATTTTCTTCACATTTAAATGGGACCACTTCTGAGGTACCCTCTTTCCAACAAAAAAAGAATCATCAATATCGGTTCACAAATGGCGCAGTTATCGCGTACATACATACAAAAAAAAACATCAGACGAATTGAGAACCTCCTCCTTTTTTGAAGTCGGTTAAAAATTTTACATTTTTAACCGTAATTTTGTATACAAACGTAGTGACATGTAACGAAATATAAAAAAACTAAAACATATAATAACTAAAACATATACCAACTTTTAAAGCTACTTGCCCAACCAGTGTAGTACATTTTTTTTTCGGTAGAGTGAGTTGAAATTGAACGAAAATTCAATTTCTCTTTTGATATGGGGATAATGTGTCATTTTTTTTTTCAAAATTAGAGCAGTTGTGTCAAAATTTTAGACGACTAGCTACAGGAGCATTATTCAGGGTTACAAAATAATAAAAAAATTAAAATAAAGTGGAAATTTGTAGAAACGGGAAGTGAAAATGCGTCACAGGGTGTATATTTTTCGATTTTTTTCAAAATGGTCATAATTTTTAAAATACATGACATAGATTTTATTTTTTATTTTTCTGATAACAGTTATGACCTGGCCTATCACCCCGTTCCGGCTTGACGTCGCGTCCCGGGACACCCTGTATATATTTTATAATATCTTTTTTTGGGCATAGTTTTATACTTAAATTCTAAATTTAAATGTGTTTGTTTTTGGCGCCTTTTTCTTAACTTAAGTACATTCTCATGGCCTTGCTCACTCGTTGTTAGCACTCATCCCTTCACCCATTGATACAGTCCGCTACATATTTTGGTCCATACTGGAGGTTTCTTTTGGCCGACGGCAGCGTAAGATTAGCGCTAGTGGGCTCTAAAGCACGCGTTTCCTCATTAAAGTCTCGTCACTATTCCGCGAACTAAAGGTAGCTCTTATATCGGTTCGGTTTGCCCAATTTAGTTTGGATGCCCATTCGAAAAAGATTCACAAACGTTTCTATTGGAGTGACTCCATGGCTGTCTTAGGCTGGCTTCGTGGGGGCTGCAGAGGGTTAAAATCATTCGTCGCGCATAGGGTAATGAAATTTTAGAGTTGACCAACCCATCGGATTGGAATCGGTTGCCTTCAAACCTCAGTGACAACAACAGTTTTTATGAAAGGTGGCTCGTTGGGCCATCTTTCTTGTTACGATCGTCCGAAAACTGGCCTAAAAATCCGGGTCCAGCACCAACCGTTACCGATGAAGTTGTCGTGAGCCTCACACAACCCTCTCCTCTCCTGCCGTTACCCACTCCGGAAACAGCAGACGCAACTCGCTTCAGCAGCTGGTTGAGGCTAGTCCGCGCTATGGCGCGCATTCGTTCACATTTACTCACAACCCTTAAAGAAAGGCAGTCGTCTAACAAAATTGTTCCCAGTGATTAGTGACGACCAACCCCTAAGAATGGCCGGTCGTGTGTCAGCAGCCATTAACATTCCCTTCGACACTAAGGTACCAATTATCCTAGATGGCAGACAACCAGCTGTAAAACTTCTAATATTCCATTTTCATCACAAGACTGCCCACAACTAGACACTAACAACGAAACTATGCTAAACGAGCTTCGTCAAAAGTTTTGGGTTCTCCGTCTAAGGATCACAGTCAGATCAATCTCAGGCGATTGCTTGTTCTGCAGGCTCCGAAAGGCTCAATCTTTGACTCCCCGCACTGCGGATTTACCGTACGAAAGGGTGGCGCATCATCAACGACCCTTCACATATACCGGCTTAGATTATTTTGGACCTACAGAGGTAACAGTGGGGAGACGCAGAGAGAAACGTTATGTCGCCCTCTACACATGCATGACCATCCGCGCCGTGCACCTGGAAATCGCTCACAGCTTGTCAGCCGACTCCGCAATTATGGGGCGCTTCATCGCTCGACGTGGTGCTCCCTCAGTAATATTTTGACACTGACTGACAACGGCACGGCATTCGTAGGCGCAAATCGACAACTAAAGGAGTTCTACGAGGATCAAGTCTTCGACGACGCTGCCAACAGAGGTATAAAGTAGCGTTTTATTCCTCCTGTCGCCTGTTCCATCCTTTGGAGGGTGCTGGGAACGCCTTGTAAGAAGTGTGAAGACAGCATCAAGGGTTACACTGTTCGAACAAACACCTAAACCAGAAATTTTAGAGACTCTTCTTTTGGAAGCCGAAGCGATCGTAAACAGTCGTCCTCTAACACATGTTCCGGTGGGTGCCAATCGCTCCTTTTCATTTTTTATTAGGTACTGCATCCAACCAAATCGTCTTAGGGTCAGATGACCGTGACCTCGTCCGCAGGGTAGAATATAATAGAATTATGCATAACTTACAGTTTGTTAAACAGAAGTTTTTTATGTTTATTGCGTGATATTTATTAACAGTATTATCTAACTATAGCCACAAATGTTACAATACTTTTAAACTTGTATATCGTTGGCTAAACTCGAAAATGAATCTAGGGCATTCAACAAGAAATCTGTTTAAGTGACTAGATTTGTATTGACACTATGTATCTTGAAAAAACCATGTTGTTCGACTACGAAGTTTGGTTGTTAAAAGTGAAGTGACAACGTTAAAAAAAAATTCGCGAGGACCAACGCATAGCTTTGAAATGGGCCTGTAATATAATCACTTGCTAAATTGATTTCTTCAAAATTTCGCGACCAAGGTGCGCAATAATATATCTATTTTCATTCATCACCATCAACCCATTTATACTTCCCACTGCTGAGCACAGGTTTCCTCTCAGGCGAGGGTTTAGGTATATCCGCTATGCTGACTCGAGCGGGTTGATATTTCATTAATGTTTAATAGTATTTAGTAGCGCTTCTTGAGAAAGAGTACGTCCGATATTGTATTGACACCACCTATTTCTGCCGCCAAGCAGGTAATAGGAGCATTACTGTGTTCCGGTTTGAAGGTAAGGGTGCTGAAAGGGGGATGAAATTACAGGCACATGGGACCTATCAACTTGTGTCATGGTGACGGGCACAGTGGGAGTGCCCCTCAGATTGCCCCCTGCAATTTAAAGCTCTGGGTGGCATTGCAACTTTTATGGACAGGCGTATCACTTTCCACCGGGCGCACGACATGTTCGTCCCGTCACTTTGTATCGAAATTAAAGAAACATTTAAAAAAAGGAAAGTTCCACTTTAATACAACACATCTGTATCTCTCATTCATCATCTCATACACTTAATAAAATTTATTATCTATCCATCCTTTCAGATTCAGCGTAACAAAGAGGCTTTCCGCAGTCCGCTTTTAGTCCTTTCGTGAGACGTGGCGTGATGGGGTGTGAACCTCGTCGTTTTATGAATTATTGAAATTATTGGTGTCACACGAACAGCAAGTGAAAGCTGAAGTTCATTCCGGTAGATACCCGCATACGCGGACAAGGCTAGCACTGTGAGGGCGACAAACCACACTTGCCTCTGGCCACGCACTCATCGGCACGGCAGACCTCAGATCGGCGGAAAGAGGATAAAGTGAACAAGTGGAACAAAAAGAACAGACGATTACGGGAGGTAGTGCGAATATTTCCGAGCACGTTCGAGGAAAGGCGCGTTACTGTGTTGACCCAAACCTGCGTCTGTACTGAACTGGACAGGCCGAGCGTGCGCACGTGCAGGGGCGTAAAGGATAGAGCCATAAAAATGTACTATTGTTTATTTGATTACAAAAACGTCGGTCACGAAATCAACGGCTACATAGAATACAGTCGACAAGAGGCGGCTCCCGGAGCGCTCCGATCGCCTCGTGGGCCGGGCCCACTTGTCCCGGTCGGCTCGCAGAAAAAAGAGCCACTCGCGATCAACTGAAATAGCGGGAATCGGTAACTTGGGTGGCGAACGACGCCGGCGGCCGCGCCCGCGTTAGGTGTAGTCGTTGAAGTCGTCGATGGCGACGCGCGTGTGCAGGTCGGAGGGCGCGTTGTAGGGCTCCGGCGCGCGCGCCGCCGCGGCCAGGCGCTCGGCCTCCACGCGCCGGCGCAGCCGCTTGATCAGGCGCAGGCGCTCCAGCGCGTTGGACGCGTACGCCGCGCCCGGCCCGCCCAGCGTCAGCGACTGCGAGATCTGCGACGCCAGCTGCAACAGCGCGCGCGTCAGCCCCGCCCGCCCCGGCCGCCCCCGCCCGCCCCGGCCGCGTACTCACCGCGCAGTGCAGCGCGATCTGGCGCGCCAGCAGCGCCACGTTGGTGTCCGACACCACGTACGTGTCCTGGTGCGCCAGGAACGTGGTGCGGATGCGCTCGTCCTTGGTCTTGACGAACACGCGGTTCATGCCGTGCTCGAACGGCTCCACCACCACGATGCAGAAGTTCAGCTGGCCCTGCAACGCGTTCCGACTGTCGGCGACGCCCGACAACGTCCCCCTCCCCCCGCCGGCGAGCGGCTCACCTTGATAGTGTGAATGTTGAAGTCAGCGCCGGAGTCGTTGTACACGATGGATACGAAGTCGTTGCCGATGTACTTGCGCTTCTCGTTGCAGTTGGGGTCCTTCGGCGAGCAGGGCATCGCCGTCGCCACGTGGAACAGCACCTGCGGGCGGAGTCGCTCTCACGGTGGCGAATCGTCCGCGCGGGCGCGGCGCGATCAAGGAACGGACGCTCGGACGCACCTGCATGACGTCGTCCGTCCACACGTAGGTGTAGCGGCCGTCCTTGCCGCCCTTCTCGAGGTTGAGGAAGAGGTCCGGCTGCTCGTCGGCCGCGTCCAGCGACACCAGCGTGCCCAGCTGCGTCAGGAAGTCCGCGTACCTGCGAGCGAGCGAGCGTCAGCCGGGGCCGGGCGGCGGGGCGGCGGGCGGCGGGGCGGCGGGGCTCACCTGACGCTGCCGAACTCGTTGCGCAGGATGAGCACCTCGTTGTCCTGCTGGCCGGGGCCCGCGTACAGCACGCCCACCTTGTGCGTCTCGATGGGCGGCACCAGGTCCAGGTTCTTGACGGTGCGCTCGTGCTGCGCGCCCGCCACGCGCAGCGGCCGCTCGGCCAGCGGGTCCAGCGCGCCCGGCGCCTCGCCCGGCACGGGCGGCGTGATGGGGTACGTGGACATGTTGTGGTACAGCTGCAGGAACACGAAGGACGGCGTGACGCCGCCGCCGCCCGCGCCCGCGCGGCCCTCGCGCCTGCGCGGCTCGCGCGCGCGCCGCGCCGGGCTCATGACCGAGATGGTGTTGGACCGCTTGGAGCGCGCCAGCGGCGGCAGGTCGTCGCCGCCCACGGCGCTGTCGCTGGCCGTCTTGAGCACGGCCGGTGCGGCGGCCGCGGCCGACGGCGACGGCGGCGACAGCGGCGCCGGCTGCAGCGGCGACGTGCCGCTCATCTCCTCGGGGATGGCCTCGCACGACACGCGCATGTCGGCGCTCTTCTTGGCCGCCTTCTTGGACGCGTGCAGCGACATGGCCGCGCTCCTGCGGCGACGGGCGCGTGAGCGGGGCGGGGCGGGCGGGGCGGCCTCCGCGGGCCGGGCGGCCGCGTACTTACGTGGTCTCGGGCGCGGCCGGCAGCAGGATGAGGTCGTCGGGCAGCAGCGCGCGCGGCGGCTCGGGCTCCGGCTCGGGCTCGCGCGGCAGCTTCCACGACGACGACATCTCCGGCGACGAGTTGGACCGCCGCACCGGGTGCCGCGACTTGCCCTGCGGACGCTCCGGCCGGTCACGCCTTGTCCGGCCTTTGCCAGTGTGTTTGCAGTAATATCGCACCCCGGACTAGGTATGAGCGCCGCGCCGACACACTCAATCGGCGCGCCGCCGTTCAGTTCGATCAGACGCTCCGATCGTACGCTTGCACACGCTTCCGTATTGTGTATGCGAATATGGCGACGCTAGAATAGTCATTATTCACGAGTCTCGAGGCTTCAAGCTCAAGGCTCGAGACAAGTGAAAATGACAAATCCGTAAAAAGCAGTAGTGCGAAAAAGCCAACTTTCAGCACAATTTGTAGTACGAAAAATACCACGTTTTAAACAACTGTATTAAAAAATGACTTTTGTAAGATAAAACTTATTTTTTTTAATAAAATGTAAGTTCGCATTTGACCTCCATCTTCCCTGATGGAAAGTGACGATGTAGCATGCACACCTAAATAATGCCTATTCACTCTCGCCTTGAAAAGGTCCAAGTTATAACGTTCAGGGAACGAGTCTACAGGCAGGGAATTCCACTCCATAGCCGTTCGCCATATGAATGCGGAAGCGTAACGCTTCGTGCGAATCTTTGGAATATCTACAACATAGAGGCGGCATGCCTACACCTAGTCCCGCAGCGATGGAAAGGAGAAGGCGGAATTAAATCGTGTAATTCAATCGCACACTCTCCGTGATATATGCTATAAAATACCTATAAGCAGGCAACTTTACGGCAGTGTTCAAGGCTCTGCAGCTTCGCCTCGACTAATTCCGAATCACCTATAAGCTTCTTGGCACGGTTGTTAATTGAATCAAAGGTGGCCAGTTAGTAAGTAGCAGAGCCATCCTAAAGGAGACAGCAGTACTCCATGTACGACCGGACTTGTGCTTGGTACAGCTGAAGCAACTGACCCGGTGGGAAGTAACGCCTCACCCTGGAAAGGATGCCGAGCTTCCTTGCTGCATGTTTGGCCACGGATTTTATGTATCCGCCGAAGTACAAATTGGACGACAGGTTTATTCCAATTCCAGTCTACCTGTTAGCTACTTTGCGAGCAGTCGTGCCAATAAGCCAATCCTTGTACGCTTAACGCGGAAATCCATCGGTTCTCAAACTTTTGTAAGATTTCGCTATGTCTTTTTGTGGCATATGTAATGAAGATGTTGGTGACGGAGTACATTGCACATCCTGCGACCAGTTGCTACATTTTCATTGTGCTGGCATAACCGAGGGAGGCTACAGAAAACTGGGCGCTGATAGGAAACAAGCTTGGAAATGCGGCAAGTGTAAACTAACAGGCCAGAGATCGCCACAACCCACCGGAGAAGCAGCCATTATGGCAGAACTTAAAGCCTTGTCTGTGAAACTTGCTCCCCTGGACTCGCTTACTGCTGAGGTCAAAGCACTACGTGCCGAAATATCTGAGCTAAGAGCACAGGTCACCCTAACTAATACGTCAATAAAGGAATTTAATGACAGATGTGAGAAGATTGAAGACCGTCTTGCGCAAGTTGAAGGAGTTGGAGACCGGGTGACCATCCTTGAAGCTGAACTAAGCAAAGTTATATGTGAAGCAAACGATAAATATCAATTTTCTCGCATGAACAACGCAGAGATAAAAGGCATCCCTCAGTCCCAGAACGAGAATTTATTAGATATTATTAGCTCAGTTGGGTCTAAAATAAATTATCCCATAAATAGATCTCAGATAAACTTTGTTACCAGAGTTCCGAGGAAGGATAACACCCAACCAAAACCCATAATCGTGGCGTTTATTAGCCGATACGTGAAGGAGGATTTTGTTGCAGCTGCGAGAGCGAAATCAAGGGAAGTGAAGCTCAATGCTAGTATATTTGGTTTCAAATCAAATAACATGGTTTTCGTCAACGATCACTTGACACCGTCAAATAAGGATTTGCTCACCAAGGCGAAGCAAATCGCCAAAGACAAGGGGTTTCTCTATTCTTGGGTAAAACACTCCAAAATATATTTGAGGAAAAACGACACGTCCCCAGTTATACAGGTCAAATCAGAGGACTTAATGAAAATTGTTTAAGTGAGTTTTGTATTTTTAAAGTGCGTGCTATTTATGTGTCCGAACTTGATATAATGTTGTTTTTATTTATATTTTTAATCGTCAACAGTTTGAGCATCTCCGGTAGTTGCTGTGTGAGTATTGAATTTCTTCTAAAGTTGTGTCTTCCTTGTTCAGAAACATTTAAACTGAGTAGTCGCTGTGCTAACGCTTCATGCCTGTATTTTACAACATACTGCTGTGGGCCTATTGTACTAGCGTTGAAAATTGTCTGTAGGATGGTACCGCTTAATACCTTTAATGTGATAAAGTCATTAGTTAATGACCCTATTGTTATGCTTATTGAATATACAAAGTGCATGTTATTTGAATTGAAATTTTGTGTCGCACTGTGTTTAAGTGTGCGTGGGTATCTTTTAATTAATTTATTTTTTTTCGGTTGTACTATCGTTTTCTTTTATTTTTATTTGAATATTTTCGGTAATTTGTATGTTTTTAAGTATAAGTTAAATTATTGCGTAATACGTGAAATAGTATTAAATATTTACTTATTTTTTATACATTCTCGGTTCGATAGACTGATTTTAGAAATTTTTAGTTTAAATATAAGGGTTATACTTTAAAAATATACTACCAAAACGCCAGGGGATTACGTACGAAGGTCAGTGAATTCTACAGAAACGTGTGTTTAAGTAATTACGATGTTATATGTATTTCGGAGACGTGGTTGTTGGATGGCATTATGGATAGTGAATTATTTGATGGTAGATACCTTGTCTTTCGACGCGATCGTGACTATGTTAGGTTAGGCCAAACTTTAGGCGGCGGAGTATTGATGGCAGTGAGGCACGACCTTGCCGTTATATGCATGCCTGAATGGAACAGTTCAGCGGAGGACATCTGGATTACTATTTTAATTAAATGTAAGAGGCCTGCGACAACTTATAAAATGCATATTTGTACATTGTACTTATGTCGGGAAGAGGGTGGTAACTCATATAAGGAACAATTATGCAATTTTTCTGATAATCTTAGTAAAATAATTTACAGTCACCCGTTAGACAAATTTGTTGTTGTGGGTGATTTTAATTTCGGTAATGACGTGCAATGGTTAAGGTCAAATGGGGAAGCCGTAATGCTACCGGCCAACTATGCTGCTGGTTATTTATCTGATTTCTTTGATCTCATTGACACATGTAATTTAAGTCAGTTTAATGGTGAATTTAATAATAATAATAGGGTGTTGGATTTAGTGTTTTCTAATGGAATATTAAACGTAAAAAATTGTATCAAACCATTGGTCCCGGAGGATTTTCATCACAAATCCCTTGATATATATGCTGAATTTGTTGATATTCACGAATTGAAACAGTTGGGCCAAATGAAGTATATTTACAATCGAGGTGACTATTCTGCAATTTCAGCCGAGCTTAGTAAAATTAATTGGAGTCAGTATTTAAGTACAGGCTCATTAGATGACGCGGTGGCCTATTTATATAAAAAATATATGAGCTTCGTGACCAACATATACCTCGTAAATTGATTAAATCGAACTCTTACCCGCCATGGTACAATTCTAGTCTCATAAAAGCTTTAAAAGAAAAATCTAAATACCATTCTAAATATAAAACGTACGGTAACTTATCTGATTACCAATCTTTTTCTACACTGCGGAAAAGGGTCTTCGATCTTGAGAGGGACTGCTTTGAAAAGTACATTCAACACATCGAATCTTCAATTGTAGAGAACCCCAAAGCATTTTGGACGTTTGTAAAAATGAAAAGGAACAACTCGACTTTTCCTAGTGTAATGAATTACAAATCTGTGAGCGCTGACACTGGTGAAGATATAAGTAACCTATTTGCGGAGTACTTTCTTGAGATTTTCTTGGTGACTGGCCAATCGACGTGTTGCACTGTCAACATGAACTACGATGACGTTCTATGTAGCATAGGCGATATTCAAATTAATGCAATCAAGGTACATGATCTTTTAAAATCACTCGATTTAACAAAGTCGGGGGGGACCTGATTTGATTCCTCCACTTTTAATTGTAAAATGTGCCGAAA